CCAAGTCTTTCCTTGCACAGCACCTCATTTGGAAAATATTGACATGGCGGCTTTCCAAGATAGATAAGGTCTGTGGTCATAAATTCACCTTTGAAAGACTGTTTGCCAGGCCTTTGCTGAATGTGAAGGAGAGGAATTCACATTCGTTTAATAAAAGGGGGTTTGTCAGGACCAGGAATCCGCTTCATGCTTTTTGGGGAAGCCTAACTCAGAACAGTTTCTTTCCTCTGGTGGCTTCTGGAGGTCTTTTCTTTTCAAGAGAACACTTGGTTGGAGACTTCAGTTCCTCTGCCACCTGCAAACTTCAACTTCAAACTTCCATTATTTTCTGCCTAGTTTTTCACATCCTTAAATTGCTCCCTTAATTGTTTTATTTTTAAAAAAATATTTGCAGAGGTAACCAACATTGCCTACCACTAATTCTTTTTTTCCTGAGAAGCAGGAAATCAAACCTGTAGATCAAGAAAGCATGGACTTCTACCAATTTGTCATCACTTTAATCTTCTGAAAGATGCTGGAGTCCATCCCACACACCCAAGACGTGTTTCCTTAGGCGTCCTTAGATTTTGCTTTGAGCATGCTTTTTAAAGGAATATTTTAAAAAAAGAACAAGACATTAGGTATATTATGTGTTTAGAGAGAGAATCTTAAAGACGACGACTTTGGATCCTAAAAAAGCATGAGCAAAACTCATCCTTCTGTAAGAGAAGAACTAGTACAGCCTGGGAGGCGGCGTCAAGAAGGTACTTAGCCTAGAATCGTTAGGTGTTCACAAATGCTATAAGTCAAATCCCTCTTGAATTCACTTGACTCTTCTCTAGCAGCAATTTAGTGCTGACCCCTAATTGACTAGACTGCATGCAGATTTGAGCAATATATCTTAAGTAGAACTTAATGTGTGGTCCCTGTTCTTTGTGCCTGAAATCTCCAGCCCTTTCCACAACCTTGACAGATCTCTATTATTAAACAAAGAGTTACCGATAAGATTGTAGTGACTCTTCCTCTTCGTCTCCGTGCATTAATGTCTGAACCAGCTGCAGAATGCTCACCATGTCCTGTCCACTAGAGGAAGGGAGAGAAACACAAATCCGTCTTGGTCACGAGGTGACTTGAAAGTGGGCATGCTTAATACAGGTACCGTATTTTTCAGATTATAAGACGCTCCAAAGTATAAGACACACCCAGGGGTGGGTTGCTGCTGGCGTTATTGCTGGTTCGGCGTGCAAAAGAACAATGAAGATTGTTCTGCGCATGCACAGAACCAAAAATCAAGATAGCTCTGCTGCCAATAGAACCGGTTCGGGGACGTGGCAGGCCGAGTTACTACCTACTCGGCCGAACTGGGCCGAACCAGTAGGAAGCCACTTCTGGACGCACCTAGCTTTTGGGGAGGAAAACAAGGGGGGGAAATCTGCCTCTGCCTCCCAGCAATTTGCCTCCTTGCAGCAAACAGCAAACAGTTTCAGTACATCCTTATTAGCACAAGAAAAAAATATCTGCCTCTGCCCCCCAGCTATTTGCCTCCTTGCAGCAAACAGCTTATTTCAGTTTTTCAGCACAGTCTGATTAGCACAAGCAGCTGATTGTTGGTTGGATCGGCCTCCCAACGATCAGCTGTTTCAGGCTGCAGGGATTGCCATTGCCTATTCTCTTTCCCAGTCTCCAATTCCCCAAAATCAAAATACCAAAGTTATTAGTGGGGGGGGGGGGAAACCCATATAAACAGAGCGGAAAAACTCTTAATTCTGGATCATTTACCTGCCTTGAAGTGGCCCAGGAATATCCTTTCTTGTGTAGTTCTTGTCATTTTCTTCTTCAACTTTCCTAATTTTAACACAAAGCAGCAGGAATTGGTGACAGGTTGGGCAATATATATATATATATATATATANTCCCCACCACCACCATAGAGTCTCCTCCTAGAATGATGTTCTTTTTCCTCTGCTGACCGGAAGTCCGGTTCCCCCACCATAGAGTCTCCTCCTAGAATGGTGTTCTTTTTCCTCTGCTGACCAGAAGTCTGGTTACCCCCACCATAGAGTCTCCTCCTAGAATGGCGTTCTTTTTCCTCTGCTGACTGGAAGTCCGGTTCCCCCACCATAGAGTCTCCTCCTAGTGCAGTGTCCTTTTTCCTCTCCCTGTCCTAACCGAAAGCCCTATCAATGATGGAGCTGACTGGAAAACCCGCCCCTGACCATAGAGTCGCCTCCTGGTGCGCCGTGCTCCCTCTCCCCCCCTCAAAAAAATGGAAGCTCCTCTCAAAATTGTGGCGGCCACCAGCAACAGGGAGCCGCAGCAGAGGGGTGAAAGAGCCACATGCGGCTCCAGAGCTGCAGGTTACTGACCCCTGCCATAGAGTCTCCTC